CTCCTGTCAGACAGATCCATGATTTTTTGATCCCTTGCAAACAGGTCTGACTGAACAGCTGAGCATGAGCTGAGTTTCACTGCATTACCCTTGTGGGAGAAACAGAGGCCCTGAGTTATGCTGGGGAGTGCCAGAAGCTGCAATAAAGACCTGGCAAAACTCATTGCATGGCATAAGCATGATGGAGAAGGGATTATCAGCATGCAGATTCTCCCACATGCAAAGCACGTACCATCTTCTGGGTGATTTATTTGCTATTTCACAAATCTGTTTTAGATGCAGCCTCTACAGTCTTATCTCCACTTGAGGGGGGAGGAGGGTTTATCTATCACCCTGAATTTCCTGCAGCATGTGGAGCCTGTTCAGGAGCCATCTGCTTTGGATACTTGGCCCTTGGCATCTCCAACACAAACAAAAACCCTCCTATTAATTGCTAAAATATGTTGCATCAACACAGTATTGCAGGCAGGTTGACTGGCTGCTTCAGTAGCTCTTCACCACCTTCCATAATGAGCACTTATTTTCAGAATGTTTTTCAGGAGCACCTTGGGACACGTGCAAGCCAGTACCTTCCTTGACAAATGGCAATAGGCAATCAGTTGTTCCCCAGGAACATGTTTGTTCCTGCAGGAGAGCAGAGCTGGAGAGCCTTGCAGAGAGCCACATGTCCTGGGCAGCGAGAAACAAGGACCATGGGCTTGCAGTGGCAGCAAACATGGCAACAAAGCCAAATAAATATTTATTGGCACACAGCTGGGGGTGAGAGCTATTGTCACAGTAGGGGAGAACCAAGGCAGGATCCACAATGCTGGATGCCAAAAGCAGGAGGAGCAGCTCAGACACAAAATGGTACAAGGCCGATGGGAGGAGGACAACAGCCCAGCTTTCTTTGGCCAGTGCACACAGTTGTGCTCAAGTGTTGCTCAGTGGAATGGCTGGGGTATTATTTTTACAGCACTTTTCCTGGAAAGCTGCACTTTTCAGCCCAGTGCAAAGTGGTGTGAGCCATATCCCCACAGCAGGCTGGCACTCAGCTGGTGTCTGTATACTCATTTTCATTGCAGGCTGAGTTAGGGGGCTTTGCAAAGAGAACAGCATTAGTTGATACTCCACATTGTTTCCTGGGACCAGTGCAAGGCTTAGGAACAGTGAACTCTGTCCAACTTTAGCATTTCAATGCAACAAGCTTCTGATGTTCTTCTGTACCTCAGGAGGAAGATGTCTCCCTCCCTGTGGCAGCTGGATTTGCTTTCCCCCTTGTGATATAGATACAGACAACTGACTCCAAAATGTTAAAGAAAATCGAGGCACTGTCTTGTGAGTGTAGCTGTTCCTCTGTGGATGGGGCTCATTCTGGAGAAGAGGAGCCAGGTGTAAATTTTTTGGCTTGGTTATGTGCTTGCAGCAGTCAGACAGGCCATACACAGCAATATTTCAAACTGGAGCAGAATGAGTACAGGCAAAACAAGAAGGGATCCTGTAAACCTGGGAGCACCCAGAGAGGTGGATATCCAAGCCCCAAGCCTCCAGAAAGCTGCAAGTTCCAGTACCATGTTCTGATTGAACAGAATCACAGAAATGGTTGGGATTAGAAGGCACCTCTGGAGATTATCTGGCACAAAGTCTCTTAGTGAGAGCCAAGACACAACTTCCTCCTAGTCTGCCCAAGTCTTGGAGAGTTTCACTGGATTGGAAATCCAGTGAAACACAGATAATTTAATAAATAATATTTCTACTGTACTTCTACAAATACATAGATAGTGGCTTTATAGAAGTTTAAACTAGTTTTAAAAGACTCTGAGTAACTTAGTAGCCATAGCAGTTGAGAAAAAGCCCCAAATTATGCTCAGTTTAGAAATTAAAATGTTGGAAATACTGCCTTGTTTTTGCATTCAAGGTATTTTCTGTACTGCATTTCAGCACAAAGTAAATTAGCAGTGGCAGGAGAAAAGGTTTGGGAAGAAAAATTCAATAGAATTTGTAACAAAATGGCAAAACCCAGCTTAAAGCCATGACAATCACATACATTAGCAAAAAAGATCTTGTCACCTCTATCAAGTGCTTCCTTTTCCAGCCCCATGGTGCAGCCCCATCTCACATTCTGTCTCTGAGACACAGGGACAAAGGAGATGGGTGGTTTAATCCAATTTATCCATGCAGACAAGAAATAATGTTCCCCTTCCCTGTGGTACAGCAAGTCCCATCATGGATTATTATATGCTTGGCTTTCCTCAAACCACAGCTTCCAGTCATGTTGGTACATGGTTTTCCAGTACCTGTCTTGACTTGTCCTTCAGGTGGCAAATTGCCCCATCACCCCTTTCCGAGCCTCAGCCATGTGGCCAGACAGAGGATAATCCCCAGCCTCACCCTCTGGTTGCCTCAGTTTTTCTTGGAGGACTTTTCCAAAGTATTCTCATATTCCAAAGTGCAACTCATGGGGCCCTCATCTTGGTCAGAGCCATAAAAGGGGCTCCAGTGAGCTGCAGCATTCCATGATGGGCAAGGACATGGTTGGAACTAACTCATCTGAAGTCTACTTGGAGAAAAAGTGTTAAGAAATAAAGTGTCAATGATGAGAAGTCTGCAGCCCTTCTAGAAGTATGAGATCATTCTTACATGAGAGTGCTGTAACTCTTATGCATGAAAAATTCCTCAATTATTATTAGGATGGAAATAATACAAACCATTATTCTAAAATAAAGCTGTCTGGGCTTGAAAAATTTACATTCAGATAGTGAGAAAAAGTAATTTTAAGCTTACGAAGTAAACATAATTGCTCTGCACAAGTTTTTCTCTTAGCTTCAGTAAGGCAAGGTTCCTGGGGAAATGACAAGTGTAATTAAAACCTGTCTCATAATGTGTGCACACAGGGGAGGGCAAGCTGTGATGGTAATTGTAACTGCTCCTAGCAGGTGTTTTTCTTTTAATATGAGGTATTAAAACCTACCATGTTTACTAACCCAAATACTCTCCTGTATGCTTCTATGCACTCTTTCCCCTACAATACTTGATAGTTCCCAGGCAACCCCAGTACTGTGAGGAGACTATATGGGTTTTTATGACTTGTACTTCAAGTTCATTTGCTATTTGCTGCCAGAATTTTCCCAGGGAATGCAGACAAGGAGTGGTAAATGGTGATTAATTTAGACAGCCTAAGTAGAGGACTCACGACGGCTCCCCATGTAATACAAGAAAGTTAACAGCTTGCTGATGTCCTTTTGTTAGGGAATTGTGTAGCCTGGTTGTTTAATGGAGTGTTTAAAAATTGTGTTGGCAATAGCCTATGAATAATGTATGATGAAATACCTTACTGCCAAGAAACTGCTGATATGCTGGGGAAATTTCCATCAGATGTGAGAAAAATTTTGAAGTCACTGTGTTCTTGGGATGCCCTTTATTTATAGCCTCACTGCTTCAGAGATTGCATTCCCTTTTTAGATACTGCATGTGAAGATGCCCTCCACTGCCTCTGCCTCTGTCTTCCAACTCCACCTGACTCCATTTGCTTGTAAATGATCCTGAGTTTTTATGAGATTAGGCTTTATCACCTGAGCACTGTAAGCATGGATTATTTCCTGTGCAATCTTCACCTGTTCTAGGTATCTGCACCAAGGCATCCTGCATCAAAGGAAGATGGACACTGGTCATGACAATGTCCCATGATGCAGGAAGCAAAAAAAGGGTCAAGTTATTTGGAAAAAAAAAACCAAACCAAAGTTGGACTTGACAGTGTGAAATGTGTTTGGATGCCTCTAAATTTCCCCCCATGTCCTCCTCCAGTGCAGGAAGCCTCTGTATGCTTTGGCCATGAGTAGTGGGAAGTCATTGTGATATGCAGGAAATTAATCTTGCTTGACCAAAGAAATGAGAAGACTGAGGGTGAACCCCTGCATGCAGGGGAGCTCAGGGGGTCAGCTCACTGCCTTAGGTGCAAGTGGAAACGGGCCTCCCATAAGACTCTGGGACATAGCTCAGGCAGGCATGGAAGCAGTTACAGTCCTTTCTTTTGCTCCTTGTCTTGGCCCTCCTCTCTTCTCCAGGAGGAAATAAAATCATAGCTTTGTTTCTCACATAGACTTTTACCCACCTGCACTGAAATGCAGAAATGTGGCAGGAGGGAAGGTGAACACAATGCATATCACTGTGCAGAGTGGTCTCAGGTAAGTGTTCATCAAGAGCAGACCCAGCTTGTGGAGCCTGTAGCTCTGTGCCCTGCCCCTGTTGTGGTTTTTTTATGAGTAGCCAAGTGCTCGTGCTGCATTTTTATTCTGTATTTATACAGTAGAGTCCTGAGTCAAAACACTTCCTGCAATTACTGTATTATTAGAATATTGCTAGAACAAAGCCACACGAGGTTGATGTTGGTATTAGTCAGCCGAGGAAGTGACATCCTCACCTGGGAGGTTGATGTCTTGGGTTTTGACACTTGTGATTCCAACATCCAGCTCCAGACATGAGGCTACAGGGCAGGGAAAGAATGGGTTAGGTGAGAGGCTGTGTCCTCAGGGTGATCTGCAACTGCCTAAGCAGGAGGATCTGTGTAGATGGGAGAGAAGGTTTGTGCCTTTATTGGCTTGTTTGCTGCTGGGATATATCTGAGTATGCAGTATTTTCACAGCTCCTGGAAAGGTATATTAAAGGGATTAGCCTAAACATTGAGATAGGTGACAAGGAGCACCAGAGGAGTTTGACTAATGGCCTAAATATTTTCAGTGGAACAAGTAAAGAGAAAAGGTTCTAAAATTTCCTCCAAATCCACCACCCACGGCCCATCCTGCCAACTGAGAAGTGTTTTCAGCAGAGAGGGTCACAAAGATCGAGGCAGAGGATCATGGTCAAGTTCAACCAGCATTTCTTGGGGTAGGAACACTGCCAGCTGACAGTATATGGAAGAGCAACTTTCAAAGGGAACGAGCCAGTTCTGTTAAGAAGTTTATTTCACTGATGCTTCTGATGATCCTATTAATTTCCCGTTTTTTAATGTTTGTTTTCTTTAGGTGAAGAGTGAAGGCCCTAAACTGGTCCCCTTCTTCAAAGCCACTTGTGTCTATTTTGTCCTCTGGCTGCCAACTTCCAGCCCCTCTTGGTTCAGTGCCCTCATTAAATGTCTGCCCATCTTTTGCCTGTGGGTTTTCCTTCTGGCTCATGGGATTAACTTCTTAGTGTCACACCGGAGTGCCAGCCGCATCCTAGCGGGACTCATATTCTCGGCAGTGGGAGATGCCTTTCTCATCTGGCAGGAGCAAGGCTACTTCATTCATGGTGAGTACAATGTCAGTCCTGAAGGGATGCCACAGTGCCCAGCTGTTACCCTCTTTATTTAGTAATGAGTTGCTGGGCCACATGTTTTGTTTATTCATGTACAGCTTAAGCCCCGGGCGCTGGGAAGCACTCATCCCTTGACTAAAATCCATCATGGTTTGGGGAAGCACATCATGGATGAGTCTTTCTCTTGAGGTTAGAGAGGTAATTGGGTCAGGTTAGGTTTCCTGGCATGTGTCACAGCATCTGGGCTGGCTGGAGTTGAGAAGGTGGCATGCCAGGATTCCCTGGGGAATAGAAGGAAACGCGTGTGGCACTCGTCAGTTCCCGTAAAGGTACAGGAAGTATTTACCTCCCATCTCTCTGCAGGGAGATCTGTCAGCCCTTTGCTGTGAGGACTGGGGATGGAACATGTTGTGCACAGCTCCTTGGTGGAGAACAGGTGGAGAGAACATTTATGTTTTGATAGACAAGCCCATAGCCTGGGGGAGGCATTAAGTGGATGATAGAAACCAAAGCAGCAGCAATCTTGTCCTACTTGCAGGTTCATCAGTGTGAATCATGCAGCCTGTTGTACAAGACATGTCTGTTTAGCAAAACATTTAAATGATGGTCAATCAAGGACAAACCTTACTGCAGTGGTTATTCTTCTCTACAGAAAGATCCACATCTCTCAGAGCAAAATGAGCTTGGTTTATTTTGCTAGTTTGCAAACTGGAACATAATGATTCAGATTAATCATTTAAAGCCACGTTGAACCTGCCTGCAGCAACTCTCCCTGGCCTTGGACTGTCAAAAGAAATCAGCAGCAGTTGAGTTCTTCACTGAACTGACTGGTGGGGTTTCTGAAGTTAATTTTGGGATTGCACATAACACCCACCATTAAGTGGCTGCTGTAACTGTCCCACTGGAAAGTGTGATGAGAGGAGAGAACTTTCCTGACTTGTGCTGCCTTCAGATCTGAAAGTCAAAGGCTTATTTTTTGCCCTGTCTCATGAGGTTAATATCTAGTTTTATTCTGGGATTCCCACAAGCTCTTTCTTTACGAGAAAGAAGTGTGTGCAGTGCCAGATATGAAAGGCCAAATGCTCTGAATCTGGTTTTAATCCTGCTTCCCAAGGGCTTATCCCCATCCCATTAAAAGTTAATGTAAAAATGTTTACTGATTTTGTTGGGGTTTGGATTAGGCCCTGAGGATTGGATCTATCTGGCTGAACGTTGGGCACATTGCTGAGGAGCTCCAGCTTTCTTGAGGTGCCATCCCTTCTGTGCTGAGTGCTGACATTCCCACTGTTGGGCCTCCTCCCAACAGGTGTACCTGCCTCAGTTGCCTCAGCCAACTGGTTTTGCCTCCTGGAGTTGCTCCTTGAGCTATGGCCTGGCAAACATTCAAGGCCCATGTCCCCCATGATTTTTGTGTTCAGACTCTTCTGCCCTTGTCCATTCCCGTGTAACTGGTATATCTCTGAGTTTCCTCTCCAAGTTACTGCTAGAGGAAGGTTAGCCAGTCACAGCAATTCAGCATCTGGTTGATGTGCTTTAATCTGCTAATGAGTTAGGTTTTCAGCCCTAGTCTCACAACTGAGAGGTTTTGCTTTGTGGGTTTAGGCACATTTTTTCTTCTTAAGGAGAAGAAAAGCTCTGTTGGAGCATTTTGAAAATCTCAGCCCACTGAGCTGCTACCTTCTGTAGGGAAGTGTTAATATTTGCATTTCAGATATAAGCACATAAAGTGCACTGCTCCATTTCATCCCTCACTTTGCCTGCAAAATGTGTTTTCTCCTATTTAAAATTCATCAGGTTGTTGTTGCTGAAAACTGACAATATTTTTGATATCATCAGTTGTGGGACTTTGAAGTTTGAGGAGAGAAGAGGAAATACTGGATAAAAATGTACATGCTTTTCAATTTCTGCAGTTTTTGGACTGAAAAGGGTTGGAAACTGGGCTCATTTGAAAAGCTTTTCAGACAATGATTTTATAAAAGGACATTTGTTCATTACTTTATAGGGAAGTGAGAGCCTGGGAACCTACTTCTGGCACACTTGACTTTTTTTTCATTTTTGCTGCTTCAGTCCACTAATAACACACTGTTTTCTAACTACTCTTACTGCATGTAGAAGGTACTTCACAGTGTTAATATCCACCTCCTTTGACACTGCCTCCTTTGCAGGCACTTAGAAACAATTTATGCATTTGGTGAAGAAGACAGAGGAAACCCAGACAGTGGAAGAAAGTGGGAGAAAAGGGCTGATCTCCCACTGTGGTTGAGAGATCCAAGCTAAAGGCTGAGAAATACAAGAGAAGTGCAGCCCCTTCCCTGTGCAGCCATCACAGGTTTCTCTAGTTCCTGGCTTGATTTGTGGGTGTTGAATGAGTAAACCTGGGAGCTGACTCCCTTGTTTGTGACCAGCCTCACCACCTATCACGAAACTCCTCCTGCCTTTCCAGGCTCTTTGCCTGCTGCATCCTGTCCTCTCCTCCTCCTCCTCCTCCTCCTCCTCCTCGCTGCCAGATGCCTGCATGAAGGACAACACAGTTCCCTGTTGCAGAATGCTCCATATAATGCCACTGAAGGAAAAAATATTGCTCACTGCTAGGATGACATATCCTTCTTCTCCTTACCACCTCCCTGGGCTCCTTCTTCTCCTTACCACCTCCTGCACTATAACCCTATGAAAAGCTCTTGTCCTAAATCTCTTCTCAGTTCCTTCAGTGTTTTGTCCATGAGGTGCAATAGCTCTGTAAAACATCAGCTTTTCATTATCCTCTTTTGTGCTTCTCTTCTTTCCCCTTCATGCTGAAGGGGAAATTCATGTCTATTTTCTCTAGCCTCACCCTGCAAAACAGATCCCACCAGCCCCCTCCCTCCTGTGGATTTCCTTCTCATCCCACCATGGCTGAGCTCTCAGTGGGTGTCTGATCTGGTCTTCCTCAAAGGCAGGGAGATGCTTCCACTTCTTCCTTGACTGCCTCAACACAAGAGAAGTAGGATGAATCAACATCTGCCAGCTGCAGGTTTTTGTGACTGCCTCTTACACCAGAGCATCACATGTTAAATGTGAACAAGTGTCCTGCTGGAGGATTCAGCTTCCCAGATCCTTTTCTCCATTTCATGCTTTAGAGTTGCATGAAAACTTCCAGCTCCTCCAATAACTTAACTCCTCTAATATCCCTGCCAGGAGAGCCTGCAGCTGCACCATGTGTGGGTCTGGGAACCAGAAGACCCAAGGAGCTGGGCTCTGTTTGTGGCCCATTATCTACAGTTGTCATGACAGCTTGGAGGCAGCAGCTGTGCCAACACATTGGGACATATTTTTGTCAAATGGATTAGTGGCAAGTTAATAACATATGGGCAGCACCTTCCAACACCCACATCTGGCATTTCTCAGTGGTGTTGCACTTCAAAGGAAAGCCAGCATTTTATTTTCCCTGACTGATTCCTGGTAAGGTTCATCTGAATCTTGCAAATAGCCATAAAATTGTTGGCAGATCACATTGGTGCAGTCCCTGAAATATGCCAGCTGCTTCTTTCCAGCTTAGGTTTCTCCCAGCTATGGGCAGAGATGGAGAAGCAGCCAGATTTAGTCCTCAAGTGCCTTTGGGTTTGTGGCTAAATACGGGCAAGCTTTGTGTCAGGGTTCAGAGGGATTAGTGTCTTTTGTCACGTTTTGTTCCTACACTGCTGTGCTTCCACTCTTCTTGTTCTACATGTGACCTATGAGCAAAACACTGTGGATAGTTAGAGGGGGTGGTCTTTGGTCTACCTTGTTCCTAACCTTTCACCCAAAGCAGGGGAAGAGGAACTACCTGAAAAACAAGATCAATTAATTCTCCAGCAGCTTAGTTCCACCCAGCTTCTCAGCAGAAAGGCTTTTGTCACATCAGAGCTGTACTTGGCTGCAGCTGTAATTGTGCTGGGGCTTTTTTTTAGGTTGGAGGCTTGGTGCTATCTCCCATGTACAGATTTTTATAATAAAATGGTCCCAAGTGGTCAGTATGGTTGTCACTGCTAGTGTTACTGGTAGGTAACAGTGCAAGGAATATTTTCTTCTGCTACTGCCTACCAGTCACTGATGAAAGGTCCCACTTTCTGTGTCAATGCCTCTTTCCAGGTCTGCTGATGTTCGGCATCACACACATCCTGTACTCTTCAGCCTTTGGCATGAAGCCTTTGGACCTCAAGGCCGGCTTGCTGATGGGCGTCGTTTCCAGTTCCTGCTACGCCTTCCTGTACTCCTACCTCTCGGGCCCCTTCACCTACCTGGTGGCCGTCTACATCGCCCTCATCGGCTTCATGGGCTGGCGGGCGGTGGCGGGCGTGCAGCTCTGCAACGACCTGTGGACGTGGACCAAGCTGTCGGCCTGCGTGGGCGCCATGCTCTTCATGGTGTCGGACCTGACCATCGCGCTCAACGAGTTCTGCTTCCCCGTGCCCTACTCGCGCTTCATCATCATGGCCACCTACTACGCGGCCCAGATGCTGATCGCGCTCTCGGCCGTGGAGACCAGGGATGAGGAGGACTTCAGGAAGAGGAGCTAGGTGGAGTGCCAATGGTCTCTGGACACATGGGTTATATCTCAGGTGCTGTAGCTGCATTCACCCCTGAGAGAGATCTCCATTTCTCTAGGCACACTGGTGATGTTGATTTTGCTTCTTTGAAGCATTACCTTTGGGAATGACATTTTTTTCGTTGGCTTTCTCTGAATACAGCTTACTTCAGTGTGGAGTCCACATCAGAAAGCTTAGACTGTCCCTGCAGTAGTTACTCATTCAACTTTTCCTCCTTGGAAGTGCTGTACTACTGCATTTTACTTGTTAGTCTTGAAATTGATGCTGAATGTCTGGGAAGAGGAGGGCTGGTGGAAAGGAGGTTTGGCCATGCACTGTGCTAAAAGGCTTGCTCTCAACTGTAGGCAGACAGGCACAGATCTCTGCTAAAGTCCTAGGTAAAAATTAATTTAACCAATGTTTGTCTCTTTTTGTGCATTACAGTATGCAAACTGGAGCTATTCCTCTACTGAAAGGAAGCTTGGAGGGAGAATAAAAAGAGCATATCCAGCTGTGAGCTGAGCTCTGGAGTCAATGGCAGCGTGTACCCAGCAGAGCCAGCAAGAAAGCAGAGCCCCAAGCTGAGGGCACAGAGTGAGAGGTGTGCTGGCAGTGCTGTGTGCTTTGATTGCAGTGCTCACTGCTCCAGGGCAGGTCAGCATTGCTGCTTGTGGCAGAGCTGTAGAGAGCAGGAGTTTGGTGGGATTTCAGGGACATCTCAGTGCTCTCCCTCTCCTCATGCACATAGTTACACAGTGCCTGCAGCCACCAGTGAGATGTAATGGGCACATGAGGAACTTTGATTTTTAAAGCAGAACATACTCATTGTCTTAGTGTATGTCCTAATTATCCTTAGTATGGCAGACAGGCATCTCATCTTTATGTCTTTTTTTCTCCAATGTCCTAACAAAGAGTATTCCATGTACCCATTAAGTTTTAGTAGGACCTCCAGTAGTACTTTTAGTACTGCTGCCTGCAGTATCTTAAATCTTTGTGTGAGCATTTCCTGTGATCAAGGCCCTGATTTTGGATGTAGATTGCCACGTTTTGCCAGCTGGTGGAAAACGATCATCTTTGCACCACTTCTTTTTTTGTCAGAAAGCCCCTTTTCAGCAGAGCTTCCTGAAAAGCACTGTCCTTTGTGTTCAACATGCCTGCCACTTCCTTCTCAAACTCACATGAACTCACATAGAACCCTGCTAGCTTTTCTCTTGTGTTAAGAGGTGCTGCGTGGGTCTCCTGCTCTTCTCCAGCTTCACCTGGTGTGCCTGGCAGGGAATAGGCATTGCCTCCCCATGACTTCTCCATCAGAGCAAATGCAGCCAGTATTACAGAAATCTGGGCTAACATCCTGACTCCATGGGGGCATCTGCTGCTTTTCAGACAGGGATCAGAAAGGTCAGCTGCATTATGGACAGGGAAAGCCTTCCTGTAGGTAGCAGAGCCTGTGTAATCCCTTTCCTTTAATGCTGTTATGTAATACTGTCAGTATTCATTCACTGGCACATGGGGGCCTGCCTGGAGTAAACAGCTAAGGGAATTCAGAGCCATACACCATTTTCATTCATCAGCATTGCTTATCTCCTGGCCACAGATTGAACCCTGCAGTGGAGCTCTCTGCAGATGTCACCTGCTGCTGCTCAGCTTGGCTGTTTGCAAATCTCCTCCAGCAAAAAAGTGACCCAGCTGAGAGGAAGTCTAAGCATTTGGGGTGGACCCCACCATCCTCCCAGCATGTGAGCTAACAGCACACTGCAGTCTTTGAATCCCAGCTCCTTGGCATGGGTCAGCACACTCAGTCCTTAGCTGGCAGTTCTTCAGAGGAGCTCCCCCACATCCTGAGCTTCCCTTCGCTTTGAGGGAAATGCTTGTGTGATAAAGTAAGCTTTATTTAAAAGTCTTGAGTTTTGATTCTCTTTTCTCCCTCTCTAGAAACGAGTAGTCTTGAACTTCCTGAAAATAGCTGAGTTGCTTTTCTGTGTGCTTTTTCTTCTTGGCTGGCTTTGCTGTCCTGCTGTACCATCAGCCACTGGATAGCTGCAGAAAAGAATCTTGATGTGTTATTAGGAGGCCTCTCCACTGGCCATCAGAGGTGTAGTTTCTGGTGGCAGAGGTCTCTGGGTGGGACAGCAGAAACTTGTGCAGCCCAAGTGGGCTGTTGTTCCCTTGCTGCCCTGGAACAGGTCATCTGGAGTGACCTGGCTGGGACACACTGGCCAGTCACACTGGCTCCATCCCGCTGCTGTGACAGCCTCAGCCTTCCCAGGAACATGAGGCAGAGCCCTCAGCATACAAAGGAGAGTCCTGGTTGGCTTGGAGGTTTGCTGGCAAAGGCTCTTAATCTTCAAAATCTCTCTCTGGCTCTGCATTCCTCTTTCTAATCCATATTACTTGAATGAGACCATTTCCCTGGAGACTCTTTCCTGCTGGGAAGAGACCAGCTGCTGTGGACTGTGATCTGACACAATTTTGAGATGCCTAAATCCTGAGAAGCACTAAGCAGTTGCTGGCAGTCTGTTAAATAACTTTTTCTGGGATTAAAACTGTTCTCTCAACCCCATTGAGGGCAACCTTCACTTTGAAATAGAGCAAAAAAAAGGAGTGGTGTTCATATGTGACAAATGGTGTTACTGTCTGTGGGACTGCCTTTGTGGACCCTCCTGTTGCCTCTTTGCACTGTAAAACTGAGGTTCATTCCATTCCTCTCCTTTTCAGGAGTACAGTCATTGAGAAGCACCCAGTCTTTGGCCCAGGAACATTACAGAGGGAGTGAAGCCTTCCAGGTGGTGTAGTGTTCCTGGCCCCAGCAGCAGCTCCTTTTGTTGCTAAGCACAGAGGCTTTCTTTTCACACTGCTGTATCCAAACATCCTTCTGCAAGCCCTGTCTACGGTCACTTGAGCTTACACACGTGGTTTGGTCACTTTCTGTAGTTACCAGCCTCTTGGGAGGTCCTTTGGCTCTTTAATTGGACATATAAAAGATGCAGCATGTTTACTTCAGCCTCTTTCTGTAGGCAGATCCTCCTTGCACAGAACTCCCAGGGTCAGTCAGAGAAGCAGTGCTAATTGCAACTTGTTTTTAAGTGCTGGTAATGCTGTGTCAGAGGGTGATGGTCATGTAGAAATGGCAGGTTAAGAAGAACAAAGCCAGAGGATTTTAACTTTAAGCTTTACTCTTACTCTGTGCTGGATACCTGGCTTCTTACTCCTCCATATTGAGGCATCTGTGAGACTGATTGGTTTCAGGATTACTCTAACAAGGCTTTTGAGTAGTTTGCTTGAAGGTTTCATGTTGTCATCAGTGGAGGCAATTTATATATTTTTACAGAAGCTTATAAAATTCCCAGGAGGAGCTTGGCAGTTTTTGGTGGCTCTTCAAAGTTTTCCAGACCTGTAGTTTGACACTAGCACCTGCATTTTCATCTTGCTATCGTGGTATTTTTGGGAGCTGTTCTGGAAGAAGCAGATCAAAGCAAACAGCAACTGTAGATCTCAGTAGCAGGTGCCTCTTTCTCTTTGCTTGGTTTCTGAATACAGACAGGGTGTCTTTTAAGCAGAGGCATCATAACTGTATTCTAGGAAGAGGATGGGAAGTTGCTGACTCCTCATGACAGAAATCCTCCTGCCTTTTATCCATGTTCACTCCTTTTGTGGCCTTGGGTGAGTCACTTAAATTTTCTGGGGCCAGGAGCATATGTGGTGTATGAGGACCAGTGCAATGCAAAGTTATCTCAGCAGGGAACCAGGCCCTCAACCCGTTCTAAAATGGAGATATTGCCCCTTACCTACCTCCCAAGGATATCGTGAGGATTGATGCTCATACAGCACTTTGAAGATGTCAAGTGCTATGTAAGTCACAAGTATTATCCAGCTTTAATGTTAAAATTGCTTTTAGGGATCTGCAGGACTTCTCTTAAAACATGGAATGTGTGACTGCCTTTTCAAATTGCATCAGATAGGAAAATATTGCAAAATATTTATTCATTTTATTCATGCTGGTTAATAGAATGGGCTCAGCTACACTTGAACTCTGAGGGAGGTTTAGCTTAAAAATCTGAACTCTCTAATTTCAGTCTTGCAGATGAGTTTTAGTTCTTCTAAAAGCCTTGACCAAATTCTTGCATCCAACTTTTGCAGTCTGGTCTTGTCCCTCACTGTTAGCTAGAGTAAATATAATCCAGCCAAAACAGAGTGCCTCACAGTCTTCTGTGGCTTTTGAAAAAGCTGGAACAGAAAATGAAGTAATTCTGTTCAACCTTCAGTCTGCAGAAGGTCAGCTGGGTTTCATGAGACAGCTTTCAAAGGGATGTTTAATTTCTCCGATTAAGTTTCACTGGCTTTAAAATCAGCAGAGAGAGAAAGCCTTGATGGAATCAATAAGGTTGGCACATCCTTCTTGGATTCATTTTTTTTAATCCAAATGAAGGAAGCAGTGGGTTTTGTAGCAAAGGAAGTGCTTGTACCACCAGTTCCTTGGCCCAGAACAAAAGCTGATCTAGAAATACAGCTCTCAACCATCACCGTGTTCTCAACTAGGATAAAAATGCCACTGTTCACTGATCTAAATCTGGACCACAGCTAGAAACTACCTAGTTTTTGTAGCACTAGCTGCTGTACAAACACAAATGAAGGCAAGGAATTACACACCAAGGAATGTGAGCTGTGTACTTGTGAAATGGACCATTATTTTGAAGCAGCTGCAGTAAAATCTTAATATGAACTCAGAAGCAAACACAATGCAAATTTTTATGGTTTCTTTAAAATATTTGATGGGTTTTCATTTTCTTTGTTTGGAGAAAATTTTCTTAATGTTATTTTTATTTTTGCTCTTACTGTAAAGAATAAAAATACACAACTCTAGACAGACTACAAATGGAAAAAAAGTGGCCAGTTGGCAGGAATGCCAAAACTTCTGTGGTCTGTATTGTTTCTGTGGTGACACTATGCTGCTGTCAGGTGAGCTACTGGAGGATGGCTCAAAAGTGAGGCTG